ATGGAGTTCTATGGAGTAAAACAGCAGATTATAGTTTGTGTGTGTGTGCATAAATACACTTACTGTGTTTATTATGTTCTTAGAGCTAAGCAGCTTATTCTGATGTTCTCACACATATCAAGATAAGTCTGCAAAGGTCCCTCTCTCTCTCTCACACACAACACACTATACTCCATATAAAAGGCAAAAACTAAGCTTTTTTGCACTGCAAATGATGATCAACATTAAAAATTACAAATGTTACTTCTCCTAACCCCAAACCAGCAACAATCAAGAATTCATGAATGGTGTCATGGCTTTGCAAACAAAAAATGTGGTTATAATGGAAGTCAACGGGGGAAAAACACCCATAACGAAAGCATAGTAAATTTGAGTGTATTGTGGAATTTTTGTAAAATTTTCAAAGCATTTTCCCAAAATGTGAAAAATTTCCCAAAATAAGATGTGTGACCAAAAATCGTTACATTTACTGAAACACAGAGAAAGTTGTGGCCAAATTATGACTCAAAATCCCCCAGAGTGAAAAACATCTCCAAAAGCACACAAGGGTTAAAGCAGCAGCAGATAGTTCGCCTCAGATCTTGAAAATAAAACGACCAGTCAAAAGTTTAAACATTAAAGTCAGAACTGTAATTCATTGCAAACCAACAACATCAGTCACTCAGTAGCCTATTAATAATGTTAAAAGGTTTAATGTGTAATAATTAGATTTACCAAAAGCCTTTACCATTTCATTGGGAGTGCAGTGGCTGGTTGTTACAGCCCAAAATCCAAAACTGGCTCTATTAATAAAACAAACTGTGAATGAAAATTGATATACACTACCTGCTACCAAAATAAACAAAGTATTGAAATGAACAATTGAACAAACTAAACGAATAGTTCACACATTACAAATACTAAAGAATTCAAAGTTAACAAAAACATAACAACGAAAAGAGCGATCCTGGCATGCATGGAGCTCCACCAGCCAGAGAGTGAGAGAGTTGCCGTCGGACTAATATAAAGGGACTCCCAATGATGTCACTGGCGTCATCCAATCTGGGCAAGCCGTTCGCAAGCTCCACCTAATAAACACAAGCACACACAATGATACCAAAAGCAAAATGTGAAACAGACCCACATAACGCTGATATTTGAATGTTTCTGTCATGTAGTGTCGTTTTTGCCAAATTGGTTATCGCTGGAATTTTTTTCATGAGGCATGTTGTGAGGACACGGACAAAACCAGACTTTCCAGAGCCTAATTTTATGGTATTCACTTCTTCCACTTGCAAAGTGGATCACTTCTCTAAATGACATGTTATCTCCCACTGATAAAACTCAGTTCTGGGAAAATGACTGCTCATGTCCTTTATACTTGATTGTGCAAGGTTTTTTTTCTTTTTTTTTTTCTTTTTTTCTTTTTGGGCTGTGAATGAACTGATTGCACTACCAATTTGAAACTCGCTTTTCTCCTCGATGGTTTGCAGAAATTGGTACCCTGGGGAATTCAAAAAGGTTGCTTCCTGTTTTCCTTCGGGGCGTCTGCGCCAAACACAAACTCACCGAATATTTATTTCCTAAAATGTTTGCCGCACACAATAAACTCTCAATTCAATGCAAAACAGGGAAGGCTATTTATTATGATGTGATTGATTGACCCTGCGTGCTGGATGTGCATTATTTTGCCCTGGCCAATGTCAATGGAGATGGTAACTGAGCAGGTACAGCTGGGAGATGGTGTTTGCCAAGGCTCCAGCAGCTGCTGTCAGCCCTGACATTTTAGAGCCTGCTGTCCATCACTTCTTAATTGTCTTTCTGGCTTCATCGGTGCCCGGCCTGCCGAGCATCAGTCTTTTGCTGTTCTATCACCCCCAGAGTGGCTGGAACCAGACTGCGGTGTGCTCACAACACCTCTAGAGCATTATGCTGTTTGTTTCAGGTGCGGTAATGTTTGTGAAAGGACTATTTGAATATTGGTGCGTCAACTGATTTACTTACACTGCTATGAGAAGTATGAACCTGAAATAGTGCATGAATTGCTGTCTGTTTAAAAACTTCTTTAATTCTAGCTGAAATAAAACAAGACTTTCTCCAGAAGAAAAAATATTAATTAATTTATGAATTCCTAACATTTATATAGCACTTTTCTGGACACTCAAAGCGCTTTACACATTTTTGGGGGGAATCTCCTCATTCACCACCAGTGTGCAGCATCCACCTCAGTAATATTTGTGGATTGATTCTGGATTTTTTAGTAGGATGTCTGCAGTGTGTATTGCTCCACTGGTTCCCCTCAAGGTTGTTGCCTCTCACCTCTTCTGTTCATCATGTATACTAAGGGCGTACTCATACTATGTACAGTTGCCTTGAACCGGGCCGAAGCACGCTTGTCCCCCCTCCCGTCTCCCCCGACAGCCCACTCTCACATTACATTCGGGCTTGATCATGCTTATGTCATCGATGATGCGCTGTTCAGTTTAAAAAGCGCTCTCGCTCAGCAGTGGAGATTTCTTTAGTTAGTTTTAGTCGTTTGGGATGCAGTGACACGCAGTCAAATATTTTTCCGAACAGATCCGCCACTTTTGACCCTCATAAACAATTATAAAGTCCTCGTGCTGCAGGTATTAGGAGGTTTGCTGAAGGTGCAGCTGTCGTGCAGTGAGGGGTTTGCATATTTAATAATCTACATCAGTTTGCGTTCATTAAACATTAAGAATGATTAATAAATCCATGTCAAACAGTCCCTTAAAAGTCACGTCTCGTCTTTAGTTTCGGGCTCAGGCGCGCTTTGCACTCACACTACAAGCATAAGTGAACCGCGCTCTGGCACACCTCTTCCAACAGGGCCAGGGCCGGCCAAGTGAACAGCACCTGAGCCAGATTCAGAGCACTCACACTTTTCAAACGATCCGGGAAAGGGCCAGGGCACGGTTCGGATAGCATAGTGTGAGCCCTAATGATTGTCGGAGTATGTACGGGAATTGTCATATCATAAAATATGCAGATGATTGTGAGTCTCCTCCACGTTTAGGATTAGGCATGGTCCTGTTGAGGAAGAATTTACTTCCTGGTGTGATAGATTTTCTCTAGTTTGTTTAGTCTAGTCCAGTTTAGTCTAACAAAAGACATGGTGATAGATTACAGGAAGGCTTCTCCTACCCCCAGCATAACAAATATTAAAGGGTTGGACATTGAAATTGTTGACACACATATCTAGGGGTCGTTATCGACAATATTTTGCCATTTCAACCTAACACCCAGGCTGTCTATAAAAAAGTTCAAGAAAGACTTTTTTTTTTGAGGAAATTTAGATTGCTTTGGGTTTGTACCTTTTATGATGAGAACTTTTTATAAACAATTTAATACTTTTGTTTTATCTTTCTGCATTTTAGCTTGGTATGGTAACTGTACGTCAAGCCATGTTCTCTTAATTAGCACAAAGAAGAAGAGGCTGAGTGATGGTATACTATTTTTAAACATTGCAAGAAAATGGTCTTCGTATTCCAGTGTGTGTCTTTAAAATCTCTCTGCGAGTGATCGAAGAGTTGTGGATTAATCTGTGTTAATATGTCTTGTTGTTTGACATTGTCACTATTTGGGAAAACCAAATAAATGAATGAGAAGTGGGTTAAAGGTGCAGTTGATGATCTGCCTAAATGCTATCCGATTAGCATAATGTTTGAAACACAGTCCCTCCCCTGCTGTCAAAACTCACGCCTTACAGAATTATGAACATGCACATTAAAGATGACAGAGACCCATTAGATCATGTCATTCGCCAGTTAGAAAACTTTATGTGACTTTATAATACTACAATTCTGAACACAAAATTGTATTATATCTGGTGTGCAGGAATTACTCTTATTACCAAGCCATACTTACATGCTATTTCAGACCAAATATTCAAAGTAGCATGGTAAACAATATAGGAAGCGCGTCACAGGTTGTCGTTGTTCAAAATTGAATCGATGTGATGTGAATATAAAACCAATTAAGTAAAGCAAGTTAGGTGGAATAGCGCTATTTACTGATGTTTTGTTGTTAAATTAAATAAAAATCGACAGTATTTATGCTGTTAAAGGTCCCTTATGAAATTGAAAATAGTCACATCAATCTTTCGCTGGAAGATTTTAGTGACTGAACAGCATTTAGCCTATTTGTAACACAACAAAAATCTACATCAGCTTTGCGTGACTAAAATAGTTTTTCACAACAAAACCTGTCTAAAAGAAATACTTCAGCCATGGTGTCATCCTTCCTCCAGCGTGCAAAGTAACTTCATTATTGATTCAGAACTTGAAAAAGTTTTGATTCAGCATTTCTTTTTAACGCGTGCACAAAAATGGCTGATCTGACTGAACAGAGGTGCGCAGTTGTACAAATCTACATTTGTTGACAGACAGTTTGGGCTACTTATCAGAATTATGGGAATTATTGCCCGACAATATTTAACTGGATGAATATTTTTAGTTTTATGCATTACCCATAATATAAAAATACATAAAAATACATTTAGATTATTTACTTTAATCATTACTATTAAAATGAAGAGACTTTCAACCAGCGGAACAAAAAAATTTTCTGATGACAATCACCTACTGGATCTTTAATGTTACAGACAAGCACAATATATACTTTTGCTTTTGCCTTAAACTCAACTGTTGCATCTAATAAAGACTTTCAGGTCTGCATGAACACTTTAGTTACATGTGTTGAAGCAGGTTTGCAACTAAACTCTTTTTTTTATTATTATATTCGGATATAATTAAAAGTGTATTAATGAACAGTATTTTAGCATTTAAAGCATTGCACAACTCAGACAGCGTCCTGTGAAGTTTCAGGTTAAAAGTAAGCTCTAATGAGGAGTTTAAAAGCAGTGTTTGAGTGTCTGCAGATCATAACTCCACGTCTACATTTCAACATGAGGTTCCTTTGCAAAATGTTGTGAGTACCTGCTTTAAGTCGCTCCATACTGAGCTTCTCTTAATTTGTTTTTCTTTTCTCACTCTTCAAAGGTGTGGAAACGTTCAGGAGCCTGGTTCTACAAAGCCTTGCCCAAGCATATTCGTCCCATTAAGGATTCAATTCTAGATAACAGGAAGCCGGTAATAGAAAGAGGAGAACAACTGCCAGTGGCCAGGAGTGCACCAATCAGCTACACGTGGGCTCAAAGCAGAGGTTAGATGCTATTCTATTCTATTCTATTGTATTTTCTGGCGAAAACTTAAATTTTAATGCTTGTATCTTAGACTATGAATGAGCTCAATGGATGATATTAAACACAGTGATATTAGTGTCATATCTAGGGAAGTATCAATACATCATAATATCAAGAAATTGTGAAATAAAAGTGCACCAATGGATAACTGCCAAAGTCCCTTTAAAGAGCCCTTATTATGAATTAAAAAGTCATATTTTGGTTTTGTGGGTCTCCAACAACAGGCTGATATGCATGCAAGTTCAAAAAACACTTTCATTGTCTTATAATTATCCCATCGACTCCCATATGATTCGTTCAGCGATTCATTTGTTCCCAAACCCCTCCTTAGCGTGATTTAAATCTGTGCTGATTGGACCGATGACCCGAGTCTGTTGATTGGTCGACTGTGTTCAGCGCGAGACAAAGAGAAATGCCCACTACTGTTTATCAACATTGGTGGAGTAGTCAGAGTGCAGTGTATACATGTGAGCCTAGTGCAGGAGTGCATTAAAGCAGTGCGGTTAAACACCAGCTTATTGCTCTGTTCTTACATTTTAAAATCGATATACAAATAAAGCTGAATTACCCATACGTATAAACAACGAAATGACACACATTCATTATTAATCCATACACTGGCAAAAGCTAAACTATTTTGAAACTTGACTGCCACACGTGTGTAGGAACAGCTGATGGTGGCTATAGCAATGACAAACTGCAGAGGATCGCGAGCTCACAAACGCATTTAAATCAGTAAAGAAAGTGATATGAGCCACATTTTCAAGGTGGCTTTAGACGTGATGTGAAATATAGAGTCAACCAAATACAGCACAAGCCGCGTGGAGCGATTCCAAAAGACAAAACATAATTAAATTCCTATTTTTCAAGCTAGAGAAAATGAGGTGGCAACCCTTTTAATCACACTTACTTAGACTTGTGAAATGGAAAAAGAAACTGATCCATAAACTGTGTACTGATAAAAGTTCCAGTCAGGCTCTGATAAAGTCTCATATATCAATAGTATTTTTTTGACCCTTTCTTTAACAAATGACCGACAAATCCCCCATTGCAGAATAGATTATTGCATTAAACACCAGAATATTCACTCATTAATGTTAACTCATCTTCAGTTATGATCAGTATCATGCACCAGCATTCTGCGAAAAGGCACGTTCATGTTTTACTGGATCCAGCACTTCATATTTGCTATTGTTTTGTGTCGAAGTCGAGACAAATGACAAATCATTTAAATGACTCTCAGTCGAATATTTTATTAAAAAAAAAAAATCTATATTTAAAAAAAAAAAGGTGCATTTTCAGATTTAAACCTCAGCTGGATGTTTTCATTCACTTGGAGCTGTGTTGCACACTGCATGAAAGGTAATTTTTAAAAATAAATAATAGGCGCTCTTTAAGGAAAGTAATTCCACTCGGTGGCCACTTTAAAGCGCCTTTTGGTTATTCTGTTTGAATGGGAAACATTAAATTCTCCAAATCTGCTTGCCATGAATATTATTCAAGTTGGAATTACCTATGAAATGTAACAACAACTGTCTATTAAATTTGTTTGAAATCATGTGAAAAAAAAAAATTGAGGTTACACAAGCTTATTTGCATGCGCATTACAGGGGATCAAGATCATGACACCGACTTTATTTTTAGCTGTTTCTAGAGGACGCAATCAGTGTCATCCTGTCAATCTATGCCTCTACTTTAGGGTTCTCAAAAATATTGAGTTCGGTACCAATCGGTAATAAAATTTAAAAAAATTACCATTTCAAGCTAATAAGTTGCGCACATACTTAAAGACCAACACTCAACAAAAATGACTGTGATTGGCCATGAAGGTCACAAAGATTGGTGAACTTATGACCTTCTTGGCCTGTCTCAGTCATTTCTGTTGAGTTTTGGTGCTCTAATGTTGGCAGGACATTGGTGCCAATTACCAGTTGGTACCAAACTCAATACCTTTGACTACCCTACTCTACCTTAAGAATAACCTACTTGTTACATAATATCCAACTTGGTCTTGATGGCAAATCTCCTCTTGAAATGACAGCTGCTGTCTTTGTTTACAAGTTTGTGATTGTTCAGGTGGTGTCCGTTTCCGTTATGTAATTTACATTTAAATAGCAGAGACAGGAATTCATAATGTCATGTGATGAGACAGACTGTACTTCACGTGGGTGTCATTTAGATTACTAAACCAAAGAACATTTTATTTTATTTAAATGTAGTTGGTTCATTTGAAAGTAGAGATTCAAAAGGTAGATATATTTCTCATATCTGTGGGGCATTTGCTGAGATTCCAGCATCTTTTGCTGACCTAACAATGAAACTGTCATGTTCCAAACTTGGTCCTGGAGGTTCAGTGTCCTGCAGATTTTAGCTCTAACTTTGCAACACACCTGCAAGGATGTTTCTAGAAAACCTAGTAAGAGCTTGTTTAGCTTTCCGAGGTGTGTCTGATGGGGGTTGGAGCTAAAATCTGCAGGACACCAGACCCACAGGACCGGTATAGAGAACCCCTGGTCTAAAGTGATCAATGTCAGCTCCTTTACTAGAAGGCAGCCCTTCCTCCACTTGAGTGGCCATATTGACCATTACACTCTTCTCAATTTAAAACCATAAGAGTGACTTGCTGTGTGTATTATATTGCTTATATAAATGATATGGTTCATAACATTAATCTGTATTTACAATTTACAATTGACTCAATTATTTCAAGGGCTACACAGTGTGATGTGTTGCACATGCTACATGTATGTAAACATCAAGAAATGTTAGTGAAATACAGTTTAACTTGTGTGAGACAGAGCTGCTTGTTTGTTTGGGGATGATAGACAGCACACACACATTTCATTCAGTATCCTTCAAAACACTGAATATGTGAGCACAATTTAATTTACTGACTTCTGCCTGCTGCCAAATCCTGTCATTAAAAAACCACACATAGGTTTGGTGTGAAAAGAAGATTAATTGTGCAGTTTGAAGTTTTTGAAAGGAAAAGGCCTAGGTTTGCTTTGAAAGAGAGTTTTTATTTCATGCTTTTTTGTACAAAATCCACTCATTATTTGTAGGAAAATTTTCATGAAGAGGAACAGCATCCAAATTGACAGTGACAGACACATTTATTAAGCAAGCGATTCTGCAGAGAGTCACTACTAAAATTAATATGATTAACAGTGATCACTGCAAAAACACTGGACAAAAATAAATGTAGTATACGTCCAGGCTTATAGATCTGCAACAGGAGAACAAACACGAAAGACAATTTTGCACAAAATGTATAGTAAAACTTTTTTATATATGATGATAGATTACAGCACAGGTGTCAAACTCGGTTCCAAAAGGGCCGCAGCTCTGCACAGTTTAGTTCCAACCCTAATTAAACACACCTGATCAAACTAATTGAGTCCTTCAGGCTTGTTTGAAACCTACAGGTAGGTGTGTTGGAGCAGGGTTGGAACTAAACTGTGCAGGGCTTCGGCCCTCCAGGAATTGAGTTTGACACCCCTGGATTACAGTATTGACATTCCTATTTAATTTAATGTGTTTTGTAGTTTCAAATAAGTAAAATAAGTAAGCGTGCTGTTAGGCTATTGCGTATTTTGTTTATGTGTTTAACTTTTTTTTTTTTTTTTGTCTAAATTGCATACAATTTTTTAAAACTAGCACTTTGCATTTTAGTGTAAATAAACATTATAAGCAGTTCTTTTTGTTGTAGTTCACACCTCAAATGTTGTCAGTTAGCTCAATGGAATATTAAGTAGGATTAAAAATATGAATGAAGTGTGAAAGATATTAAAAGCTATTTGTGTGCATAAAATGTAGCACAATGACAGTTTTGAACAAAACTATCTATAATTTTCTTTTTTATTTTATTTCATTTTATTTTATTTTAATTTATTGTTTGTAAATGTAAAAAAAAAAAGTTCACACCTCAAATGTTGCCAGTCAGCTAGCTCAAGTTGCATGGAACCTGGAATATTTGGGGGCATGAAAAATATTAAATGTTATCTGGGTGCATAAAAAAATGTGGCACAACAACAGTTTTAAGGAAAAAATAGCTATTTGTTTTGTTTGAGATGGTAAAACTTTACATACACTGCTGTTATGCCAACACAATCTCATGGCAATTCGTAACTTTTTGATTTAGTGACTAATTCCTGTGAATTCGTACGATCTCATTCGTACAATTTAGCATGATTTACTCATCCCCAATGATTGTTGGGTTTAGGGGTGGAGTTTTGTGCCACGCCTCCTTTTTAAAGTCGTACGACTGAATTCGTACAAATTAGCCACTAAATTGACAAAACCTAAAATATTTACATTTCCACATGAGATCAGGCTGGTTATGCACATACCCATATCATCTTATATATATCATATTTTAAGCTTTATTCCTTTGTGCTCTGCTTGCAATTAGATCACTGCAGCAGTTATCAAAATATACTGGCGAGGCTATAGATCTAAAGGTCAGTTAGCTAATTAATACACCCCTAAGTTATTTCTGTACATTAGATGGGACGTCCCATTCTCCTCCAGCGGTGCTATTAATGAGCTCAGCCGTCTTAAAGTGACCCCATTTAACCCTTCTCCAAATAAACATTCACTCTAACATCCAATTCAAGCCCGAAACACTTCAAGCTTCCAGACACAGTTCTGCTTAACCTTGCAGAAATGCATTTAAGGCAGAATGAAAAGTAAAATGTATGTAAAGAAATATAAACTCACCCTGGCATGAATCTAACAGGCCCGTCTGCAATGTGTGATAAGCTTACTTATCAGAAGAATTAGGGAATAGAAAGCAGTCCAACAGCATGTGAACCAGCGTCCCTCAAAGACACTAAAAGACGCTCAGGGGACCAATATATCATCATTTTATTACACACAATAAAGCGCACAGCCCATCAGAGTTTACAGTCACACGCTTTCTCATGCATTTGATTATCTCCGACATGCAAATAAGATGTTC